TGAGGAAGTTTTTGACAAGTTTTAAGTCCTCTCTCATCACAAAAGGATGCAGATGACGGTTCTTAAAAGGAGGCTGAGAAAATGCTGTGCAAGAGGGGACTGCGCTAGGAGGCGGATGATCCAAAGTGGGTTTCTTTGGTCAAACGCTCCATAAAACCCAGGGGCGACACCCGGAGTGGCTGCTTTTTGCCTTTTTTAACCTCCCCTTGCGCTTAGGCCCCTGCAGCCTAGTCGAGAGGCGTCCGCAGGGAGCGGGCAGGGTGCCAAATCCCCCGAATGTGGGTCAGTGACAGGCGCCAGGTTATTTCTGGGCACCGCGCTCACGTCCCGCTCAATTCCTGGCCCCCGTGAGGGTCTCCGGCGCTTCCTGACTCCGTCTCTGCTTCCTCCCCCCTCGCGCCAGGCTCGGGCGCAACGAGATGGCCGCGTCGTCGTCGTCCTCGGCCGGCGGCGTGAGCGGCAGTTCCGTGACCGGGTCGGGCTTCAGCGTGTCGGACCTGGCACCGCCACGCAAGGCCCTCTTCACCTACCCCAAGGGCGCCGGCGAGATGCTGGAAGGTGACCGCTCGGATCCCACCCTATTCCCGCTCTCCCCACGCTCCCGAGTCCCAGGGCTCGCTCGGACTCGGCGTAGTTGGCCGTGCTCCTCGGGAGTAACCATTAGGGCCGATAACGTGCGGCCAGAGAGATGAGATACGGCTGCGGCCTTGCCGCGGCGAGGGCAGCACCAGAGCCTGAACGCCGAGCGATGGTGACGCAGGGCTTGCGCGTGGCACCTAATGAGCCCTTGAAACAAATTAAAATAACGAAGCGCTCCGTGTCAAAGGGGCAGTTGTTCTCCGCGGGAGCCGCTGAGGCCCAGCCAAAGGCCCTTGTCTCTTCCTCATCTTCACGGCACGGAGCCACAGCTTGTGTCACCTCCCCTGCCCGGCTGTCCCCGTCCCCCTGCGGCTCCCCCCCCCCCCGCCCCCCTGCAGGGTCTAGAGAGCAGAGAGCGGCACGTTCCCAGCGGCGGAGAAAGTCCCGACGCACGGGTGGGCCGGGGGCTGCAGCGCTCGCTCGGAGGCTGCCGAATCCCTGCCGGTGGAATCCAACCTGCCTCTCTGTGTTTGCAGATGGCTCAGAGAGATTCCTCTGCGAATCCGTCTTCAGCTACCAGGTCGCGTCCACGTTAAAGCAAGTGAAACACGGTAGGTGCTGGGGTGGGGAAGGAGCTGGGAAGGAAGGCCAACGCGTTCCAGCGCCCCGGCCACGCGGAAGCAGGGGCGGCCCTTTCAGGGCAATGAATTAGTGCTAGGCCAGGCTGCGGCGCCGCGGTCCGTGTGCGAGCGCCGTGCAGAACACGGGTTCAGAGCGTGTTTGTTCCTCCGCCCTGCGCTGCGCTGGCTCGGTGCTCCAGGCCCAGCGCCACGGCCTCGGGGAGGTCATTCGAGTCCTGCCCT